TTTTACTCCAGTTAGAATTCCGCTTGCAACTTGCCGGTATTTAGGTAGATTGTACAGGGTGTAACCTGGGAATTGGTAGTACTTCAGTTTGTCATCCGAAATGTTAGCTTCCATAATTGTGAAAATGTCTACATCATAGGTTTGTAGGATTTTCTGTACTTGGATCTTTTTGTCCGGAGACATTCCTCCAGCATTCAACTGGAGGATCTGAAGACGTTGTGATTCGCCCTAACGAGGGCGATTTTTCTTATAGCCTTTTTTAAAGCTAATCATAATAAATTGAAGTCAAAATTGCCGAGTGATAGACTTTTTTGCCGTAAGAAAATACGTTTCCAGGGTGCACCACGTGGAGGTAAGTCTATCGTGCACCCCAGATTGGAATATAATGTTTTCACGCTTTGCAAATTGTTCATTTCTGAATCCTTTATTTTTCTTACTTTCTGTGTATTCCATTGTACATATGTCCTCCATGCTGCTTGGTACTTTTAGGTTTCAACACATTCAGATTTCATTGTTCTACTCTAACGCATGGGAACTATTTCCGCTAATACTGTTTAAGGTTCACAAAATCGTCATCGCCGATTGCCGAGAGAAGCTGAAGGAAAACGTAAGTATAGCTATTCCCGGCCAATTTCGTTAACAATTAAACATTAACTATTGTTCTGGTCAAAAATATTAATAGTTTGGGCAAAGTACCAATATATATATATATATTGATTAGCCTAGTGAAAGTCTTTGCGAACTTTCGAAACAATAATTACAAGCGTTAGACTTCTCTTGAACTATTCAAACTTGAGCAAGCTTTAGACCTACAAGTAACACATTTGATGTTTGAATCACTCCTTTTTTCCTATGACCAATGAATGCTAGGTAGAATAACATTTTCAGATTATTTTATAAAGAATTCATAAAAATTAATACTTAACAATATTGCTAGATTTTATAATCAGATCTCTGTGATTTGAGAATTTAATACTAAAGCCTATTTTATTCAATTCGTGCTTCTTTAAACCCCTTGGTGGTTAACAACAGCTCAATTAAGGACTAATAATGCTGAACAATGGAAAGCAAATCTTCCTTCGTGTCAATGAATTAGTCTAAAAGATCATTTTTCAAAACAATATAAAAACAAAGATTAAATGAAATTGAATATATCATATAAACTTAATTTAACAAGGAAAAAGATTGTGAAATGCTAAAAATATATTTTATTTGATTGTTCTAATTGATGTTATTTGTATCTAAACTTGAGTTAGTGACCTTGGAGCCTATACGTATTTCAATGAATTACGATAAAAGTAATATAAATTTGGTTATTCTTGGTCATATCGGCTCTGGTAAATCTGCATTGATCTGCCATTTGATCTCTAAATATGGTACGTTGGACAAGAATTATATGACAAAGTTTGAAAATGAATTATTAAGTGTAAGTTCATTTCACAAAATTGAATAAGTATATAGATAGAACCTTCATCTTCGAAATATGCCTGGGTGTTGAAAAAGCTTAAAACTGAACGCGAATCTTGTGATTCTACTGACTCATCTTTTTGGCAATTCAGATCTCCTAGACACACCGTCACAGTCATCGATGCCCCTGGACACGATTACTTCATTAGAAATATGATCACTGGATCTAGCCATGCTGATTGTGCTATTCTCATCGATTCTGCAGCCCGCGAAGAATTTAAAGCGAGCATGAGCCAAGAATATGCTGATCTCGCCTACACTCTAGGAATTATGCATCTAATTATCGTTGTCAATAAGGTAGATACGATCAACTACGACGAGAAACGTTTTCGAGATTACTCCAATGAAATGAGACTACTTGTCGGCAAAGTCGGATACAACCCTGATAATGTTAAAGTGATTCCTGTCTCTGGATTAAACGGCGACAATATCCTTAAACTTAGTCCACATACGCCTTGGTATAAGGGTCCAACTTTGCTACAGAGTATTGATATCACATCGCCATTAATTAATCCAGTTGATAAGCCCCTTCGTTTTTCAATTGAGGTAAGGTTTAGGTGCTTTCAGGTTAATTATGTACATTTTAGAACGTAAGGTTGCTTGAGGACATGAGGATTATCTCATTTGGCAAGCTTGAGTCTGGTATTATGAAAACCGGCATGGATGTGTCTTTTGCGCCTTCTGGAATTACTTCCAAAGTACTCGTAATAAAAAAAGCCAACGATTCAATCGCTGAGGCTGAATTTGGTGATAAGATCGGTTTTTTAGTTAAGGAAATATCGGTTGGTGACATTGCTAACGACAATATTGTTGGGGATTTAAACAATAACCCTCCGAGGCCAGCTATTGATTTTACTGCTCTGATTTGCATTCTTGATTTTCCTGGTGAAATTAGTGCTGGCTTTACTTCTCCTCTGGATTGCCACAATATTCGTGTTCCGGGCAAGTTTATTGAGTTACTTGAAAAGATCGACCCACAAACTGGCCAGGTTATCGAGCGAAATCCCCCAAAGATCAAGTCGGGTGACGCCGCAATTGTCAAAATAGTTCCTCGCAAGCCCGTTTGCCTTGAAGTCTTTTCACAATACCCCAGTCTAGGTCGATTTTCTATTCCAAATGGCGATTCTAAAGCCATATTTGGCGTGATCAAATCTATAACATTCAAGGAAAAAAAATCAATGACTTCCTTGTCCCAAAGAATCAAGAAACGCTTTTCAAGTAGATAAGTATATATATACACATAAGGGTTCCTCTTATATTTCCCTAAATTCATCCTCGCTTTTGTTATCTTACTGTTTTTATGTGGATATTTAAAATAAAAATATTTCCTTTGAATTATATTTTTGTACTCAAAATACTTAAAACTGATTTGAATTTTAAATGCCATTCTTGGCATACCTATTAAATATCGTTAGACTGCGTATTTGGGCAAATACTTCTAAAGGTGATGACCTCAGGAAAAAATTATGCTATCTGACCTGAGGATCTCTGCTAGTTATTACATTTCATTTGCCTCCTACAGTAAAGTGAGTGATGATTTTCTATGGGGGGAAAATTGATTTTTTTCTTCATTCAGGAACCAATTCAAAAAAATCAAGAACGAAATCTCACGTGGACAATTAGGGAAATAATCGATCAAATCAGTTCTTCCAAATCTGTCATTATAAGCTCAAATTTACCAGCATACAAGGTTTTCAAATTAAATCTAACAAATTTAAATGAAAAAAATTTTCCATAAATTTTTTATCCATGGTTTAAACTATAGCGGCCTTTTGTTATTGCCTAACATGAAAGACAACTTTACCAGGTTGGTATGTGGAAATGATCAATTGGTCAATATGTTAAAAAATTGCGAAAAAAATTTCGGAATTTGATAAATTAATTTTTATCTATTTAATGAAAATTCAAGAACTAGATGCATGCGACCAGAAATAAAACAAAACCCTTTTTATTTAGTAACTTCTGTTCGCGATGCCCATTTGAAAAGTATTATCTCCTTCAATTTAAAAAAATTGGGGAATATTTTGGTTAATATTAAAAACACTTTTGATTAGTACATATTTTCCAAGGTAATGCGGCAATTAGACAAAAATATTAATTTTTAGGTGACTACATTTGAGACCCAAGGAGAGGTCAAAAGATGAAATCTTCTCAAACATATTTACAGGCATATGCGTCGAGGACGTAGGAATCAGCGTACACGTCCGTTAGGTTGGAAGTCTCGAGAATGAACTTAAAGAGGCTTCAATATGGACATGTAGCTCTTAATAAATTCGGCAGTAAGTAACTAAAAGACGGGATCAAGGAAAGACACTTGTTACAAACAAAAAAAAGGAGATAAGAAAGTTTTTATTTTGTTTCTGGGTATACAACCGACAGTATCAGCGTGATCGCCATGTAAGTAGAGGTTAAGACCCATAGGATGCATGGCAAATCAGATAGGGTAATAAAACCAAGCAAACATGAAGACTGACATCAGACTGGCACAAGGGTCAGACTGGCAGTGGACATTTAGGCTCAGGTCATGACAACTTGGTGTAACCGAACTTGCGAGTGTCGATTACGATATTGGCAAAGATATTGCCACAGCTTCAGTAAAAGGTTTCTGTAAAAATGCGGTGGTGACTGGACTGATTTAATTTGTGTTTAGTCCTTTGATTTTGTGAAAATTGTTTCTAATGCCCATTTGACTTCATTACCTGCGCAAATATTGTGGCAACAGGGGGGTAGTTGGCTTTTAAAGAGAATAATTTAAAAAATTGTAACAGAGAAGATGTAATTAACAACAAATAGGCAAAAAAGCCTAAAAGGTGACATCAGAATGATTAAGAGACACTTCAAGCAGTTAAAAGTTGTCCACTATATTCAAACGGCTTCGACCTCCCCATTAGCCACAAGAAAAATTTCGAATGCTCAACCACATCTAATTGAATCAATGGTAGAGAAATTGACACTTCTACCCAGTCAGGCCTCATAACCTCGTACTCAAACGATGATGGATAACGTCTCTCGGCAAATCAGTGATTTCCGCTAAGATGTGAAACTGTTGGCACTTTGTGAATAGAAATACAAATTATCTCTGATTCCAAGATTATTCCAATACCATTAAGAAAACTGCGCACAATTCAATCATACCCAAGAAGCTTAAAATTCAATGAAGCCTTTGAATTGTTACCAAACTTCTTCAGAATTCGAGGTCCAACCTTCTTCAGAAAACCTGAAGAGGATTGTGACGATTCCTCAATTCGACTTAATAGAGAATTTGTAAGACCCAAATTGAGCCTCAGAATGAATGAAAAAAACAAACATTACATCCCCAGACGCTGTTACCGAATGCCATTGGTTCAAGAAATGAAATAATGCAGTTTTGATTCAAATGACACGCAAAGAACCTACTAACTTAGCCGTTATTCAGTCTACCACTATAAATGAAATTCTACTTCATTACCTCCATTTGCATGCTATTTACGCTGTCACGAAAGGAACTTTGCTTCATTCTGCCTTCTCAAATAACGTTTGTCACCATTATGATAAAAGTGGTCAATATGAACTTCGTTGTCGAATGAGGAACATGACCTTAAACAAAAACATGTGATTCAGTAGAAATCTTTCAAAAAAAGAAGAGGGCGCTCAACAGCAAATAAGAGCTCGAAGTCCGAGGAAAACTTCGAAACTCCAGAGTAAATTGATTTCTCCAAATAAAGAATTCCGAAAAAATGATCGAAAAGCGCCAAGTCGAGAAAGAGCTTTCATGCAACAGTTAAGGTCATTAGAACCAACAAATATTAATCTGAATATATGAACATCATTGGTCAAGTGAAATCAACGTATAGCCAGTTACAGCATCCGATATTTCTTTAATCACACACAGGTTATGGAGGAAATCTGAAGTTCTAAATTAAGTCCGATTTCCCCCTCAAATCGAGATGAATTGGGAGGAATACTCCAATTTCAACGTCTTAATCAAAGGAAAATTATTCAGTGGGGGTCGTCAAATCTATAGGGAGTGTTCTGCGACAATGAATGTAAATTTAACCATACTTGGCCTGAATTGGATCAAAGAAATCTAACCTTCAGAACTATCGATGGGTGAAATATGGGCGGACCGACGTTTAAATATAATACAGGTTCAGGTATGATAATTATTCCACAAGCCACCTCAACAAAGAATGGATGCAGCTGAGAAAGAAAGATAGAAGTCAGAAAATACATATTTAACAAAATTAAATCAAAATGAGCGATTATCCCTAAATAGGTTAAGGATGCGAAATTGGTGAGTTTGAAGTCGAAGAATTCTCACCCCTATACAGAGTAAATCGGTGAAGGAAACTCAAAATCAGAATGGAGAGACGATTGGGCACTAAATTGAATAACAATTAAGAGTGCTCTCTGTGCATTTCAAGTTAATTGCTAACAAATTTAACCACTGATTTTTCGATTTTATTTTACACACCTGGATAGGCAAGGCCACCAGTAAAGAATTTGTCACCAACAGTATTGGTCAATCAACCAGACAACAATTTATCTTATAAATAGTGAACAGCCGCTTAAGCTAAGTTTTTTCTTCCACATTTCTAACATCTGGATAGGCTGTGGTACATAAAGGTAACAACTATTAAAATTTTAAAAGATACAGTAATTAAAATAGGAATAATTGACACAAATTAATTTGACACTGAAATCAAATTTTTAATTACTAAATAATGATGAATTTACCCATTGCCATTGCACACATTGGCCTAAAGTGTTCAAAAATTTTGTTAAATAAATTTGTCAAAAGTGGTGTAGCATTGACATCTTTTTATTAAAAAGTCTTATACAAATTAAAACAAGATGAATAGTATGAGGTAAGATGTAGTACACTCATGATTAAAAAGCAAGTATTCAGTGATCATCGTGCCATCAACGAAATGGAGCAAGAAATGTTTAAGATGGAAGGAGAAAATCAATTAAGTTATTTAAAGGAAAATATTACTATGTCATTTTCTTGTTTTTTTTGCAGCTTGCTTCATATTTTAACGTGAATGTATTGATATTCTTAATTCAAAAATTATCGATGAGTAAAAATGGCTTCAAAAACCCAAAGCGAATGTGCCCATGTATTTTAGGGGTAAGGAACTACTGTCTTTATTCCATAATTAAAATTAAATTCACATGTCCTCAAGATGGATAAAAATAAAAACAATGCACATCTACCAAGAAGACTATTTTCATTGCTATATACGCTGACATAATGTGATAATTTATTTATGATAAAAATCATGGTCAACGGGTTTAATCAGTACTCTTAATGAAATGTATTGGGAATGACATCAGTAAAAGCTACTATGTTTGGGAAAATTTAACTGAAAATGGTAAACAAAAGTCGACAGTTTACAGATAATACTAAATACCACCATCTGAACTTTCCATGATTCTTCCTTCTGATTTCAAACTACCATCACCTCACTGTATGTCATA